CACACACACACACACACACACACACACACACACAAGAAAAGCTCTCTCTCTATTAGAGGCCTATGTAAGGCCCTGCGTTTGTGTGCCATAAAGTCACAAACACACACACACACACACACACACACACACACACACACACACACACACACACAAAATGAGCTCTCAATCCAACTGTAGTATATGAATAAAGTTGTCTATAGATGCATTAATCATAATTTTAATACTCAATGTTGTGGCATACAATTGAACTGTATTAAAATGACACTGCAGTACATTAAAAAAAAAAAAAAAAGTGAAACTCCAGAATTTTTAAGACACAAATGGAGAAAGAATTGTGATGTAGTCTAAACAGTTTTCATTGCTTTTACAGCAAATCCATCAACAACCTCTGACTTACAACACCACCAGATAACTATAATTGCCTTTCCTCCCTTTTCTGGTGAAAATGGCTTCGTGCAGGGGTGTCCGGCTCCAGTCCTCGAGAGCTACTGTCCTGCGGCTTTTAGATGCATCCTTGTTCCAACACACCTGAAGGAAATGAATGGCTTGCTACCGGGTCTTTTCCAAACATGATGGCATGCTCAAGAGGTAATTGAACCATGTGATTCAGCGGTGTTGGAGTAGGGATGCATCTAAAAGCTGCAGGACAGTAGCTCTTGAGGACTGGAGTTGGACATCCCTGGCTTGGTGTAACACATACAGACTAACTTTCAAAATTATTTTAGTGTTATTTGTAGTAGTGCACTGAATCCCCTCTGTAGTGAGTGACTGCACTGCATAACATTGCATGGCCATCACGAATTAAACCGGTCTGTTCATGGTGGACTACAGTTTCAGTCCTTTTGTCCTACTAAGTTTATATGTTTTATAATACCACCAAACAGACTTATTGCCATCATTAAGGTCTGTGCTGTACTGTCAGGGTTTTTCAGACTTTAAAACTGGCCTTTTTAAGTCCAAGTCTAATTTCTGAGCCTTTTTCTTCAATTTAATGCATGAGGCACATTCTTTAGTCAGTGGCCAAGCTCTGTTTGATATGTGGCAAAAACTCTGCAGGAAAAGCTTACATTTTTTTCCACCAAAAATACTCTGTCTTCCACAATAAAACCACTGGGACAGATAAAAACATTTTCCAAGTGGGGCTTAATTTACTCAAGCATATAATGCACTGTTGTTTATCAAATTGCTGCAAACGACAGGAAATTGCATAGACGTTTGTTAAGGCGACAGACTCATTCGTTTAAACTGCAGATTAAACAACGTACTATTGCTGCAGACAACCTGCCCTAAACAAGTATAACATGTGCTTAAAAGCACAGTTCTCTTCAACGAAAATAGATGGTTTATAAAGTGCTGCTAAAGCAAAATTGTAATGTCACATGAACATAATTACACAACACACAATGCCACTACTTTGTCACACCTAGTTGGTTTTCAAGGCATTCATCATGCACATGGAAAACCACACTTAACACCATGCATTGTGTCCCAAATCCAGCTATCAGTGCAAGCCACCACACGCATTTGTGAGCCTGTGCTTAAATGAAAGAAAGGGGTCCTGGATTAGCGTTTACTGCCGCAAATCCCCTCAGTGTGGGCATACATTCTGCTCCAAACACACGTATTAACTGTGTTTTAGGGCCGGACGTCCCCAACACACAGCTGGTGAGTCACCTGTTACGTCAAGTCAGGGTCCTGCCAGCCGAGTTAACTCCCTAAACCTTGAGCCTCTCATCCAGAACCCCACTCTCTAATATGCAGCACTGCATGCAGGTTGTGAAAAAGCCAAAAATATACGAACCAGTCTCGACTTGAGGCTGCTGCATCTCCTGTTCGGTGACTGGGACCGTTTCTGTGGCTTCACCAGGCATAGTTGCTGCGGAGAAAAATAAGGATTAGATATTTAGTTAGTTACATAGGTCGGGACATATGAGCTCCCCAACATAAGTGACGGTTAATACACCGACTTGAAGTTGTCATAACTAGCTGAATAGGCCATAATGAACCCATGCTTTAGCCCGCAGGCTTAGTGTTAGCTCAAGTTAGCCTCAGCATGGGGAAGCTCGCTGCTAATAACCCAGTCTACCGCATTTTTCTCCAAATTCATCCTCTTTAAAGTGACCTACTTGTTGTCACTCAAATATCTCCCTCATCTCAGGCCACCTAACTCACTGCGGCCCTGACAAGGTGTGAGCGGACTGCAAGACATCATGCTCCCCCATTTTGAGCCGGTAATCAGCGGCACAACGACACATTTATCACCGAGTAGAGAGCCCACACAACGGTAATAGTTGTACGGATATAATGACTCTACATTCAATAAACACGCCAACCCTTTGATTCAGGTGGGAATGAGTAAAAACAGCTGGATGATGTTGGATTATCAGCGGAGACACTCACCGACTCAGGACGTTATATCCAAGATGGCTGTGAGAGAGAACTTCTGACCTCCGCCTCACGATAATATCCGCTTCAGCCACAATTTCTACTTCCGGGTTATTTAAAGGCACAGGCCTCGTTTGTTTAGCTTTATCCTACCGCGAAACACAGGAATACAAACAAAACTCAAAGCTTAATGTAATAACATTTCCAATAGTACTATAGTGAAAGAGGAAAGAATTCTATTCTCTGAAAAGGAAATCAATAAATTAAAGTCACAAATACCCAAATATTCCCTCAGATTGTCAGGTCTCAAAAAATGAAAAATAAAAGAAGAAAAAATGCTTTGGGCTTATACAGTTTTACAACAGTAAAAATGTTTGGGTCTTCATTTATTTATTTATTGTCCCCCATGGGATAAAGAATATCCCTTTATGGCATATTGGTGCAGCTGAAGGCAAAAATAAAATAAAAAAAATAGAAGGGCTGTGTTTAGGTGCTGGAAAAATTAAAAACTTTTGAGATTAAAGTAATAGATTTTTGAGGGAAAAAAAACTTGGTTAGAAACAAAATGGCCAACACCTGCCAAAACTGAAGGCAAAGATACATTTGAAAATATACATATTTTGAAAAAACATAACATGTCAAAACAGAGAAAAACCTGGAAAATCATATTTTCCATGGAGTTTCAGTTTTTGAAGGATGAAAATTAATTTGAAAAGAAATGTGTTGTAGTAAAATAATGTTAGAACATGAAACAGAAATCATAACATACCTAAATCTCGCATTGCAGTATAATTCATGCATGTAACTCGCTAGGAAGGAACAGTAAATATTCAGATTGAATGGACTCACAGGAACTGCTGAAACTCTCATTACATGGACTAGATAGTTACAGATGTTATCATTAAACACTATAACCTGAATATTACAGATTTGAGGCAGAGTCCCTGCTTACACATCAACAGGACTCCTCATCTTTAAGCTTCAATGGATTAAGTGAATCATGTGAGAAACCCTTTAAAAAAAAAATTAAATAAAGGAAGACAAAGTGTTTGCAAGAGTAGAAATACTGAATTTATTCATCACAAATACAGCCAACAATTAGACAAATAAAACTTTACTGTGAAATTTTATGGTAAAAAATCAGGGATTTATTAAGCATTTTATTAAATGTTTTATCAGCGAGTCTTTTATTACAAAGCATAATAAAACAGATTCTGGCGAAATTAATGTGTAGTAGAAAAATGGCACCAAAAACACCACAAAGCATAATTAGCAACATTAGGCAACAGGATGTTGTTCTGAGGTGTCACCTTCTGATGATCCAGTTCAGAATTCTTTCTGAAGATCTGAAGGAGAAAAAAAGGAAGAAAAGCAAAATGATTAAAAGTTGCTGTAAATTTTCTGTTTAATCTATTAAAAAAAAAAAGAAAAAGAAAGAAACCTACCACTGTTTCTGAGACGCTCTCCTTTCCATGAACGAGCCATTCCATCCAGAAACTGGTCAAAGTATTTTATGTACTTCGCCAGGCTGGTTCTTTTGTAATCTGAGAAGAAAAGTAGTAAAAGTAGCATTAGCTGAAACACTCCGATAAATCAAAGATATGTTTAAATATTTACACTATATGAATATAGTAACAATAAAGTTACTATATAAAGTTCCAATTTTGGGGGGGAACTTTATACTCCAGTGCACCAGTCATTCATTCAGGTGTACATAGATTTTGAAAAGTTGTGTGACTGATTGCAGTTGCTAGTGAAATTAGTCACAAGTTTGCTTTTTCATTGCTTTGGTTGCTAGAAGATTATGCAGTCATGTATAGTTAACATGGGAGACACTGACTTGTCTGCACTTACACTCAACTATTTGCAGTGAAATTGTGAAAAATGTGATGTGAACCAGACATGGAGAATGATCACCTTCAGAGTAAAAGTTCCACCATTTGAGATATGTTGTGTTACAGCAGTTAGGCACAACTTTTAATTTAAAGGCAAAATGTACATAAATAGTATTAACTTTGCTACCCAACATGTACATTTTTATCCAGATGACAACATTTCATATGCCCCTAGCTCTTCCCTTGATCTGGTCCTTCAACATCTTTTGGCTGTTTTTGATGCATTTCATAATTCTGCAACAGCAAGCAATTATGCAAACAATAGGTGATCTTGTAGCAACCACAACAATCATAAGATTTTGGATGAAGCATGCCCTTTGCAAACAATTTCACCTAGCAACAGCCAGCAACCTTCAGCAACCATGTGCCACTTTGCAGGGGAATTGAAAGTTTTTGGATCGCTTACTAGTGACTAGGCCTGTACGTCTTAGCCAATTATGTGTAACGAGCATTTTTAGAGTGCCGATGATTATTTTACATCACATGATCTTTACACTTAGAAAAAACCATCATGCCATTAAGAAGACCCTAGCCCCCAAAACACCTTATGTCAGCCCATTTAAAGGCCTGAAGATTTCAGTTTTATGTGCTGTCCAGGTGTATTTTAGGTAAAAGTTTCAGGTAGATCTTTGCATTTTTCTTTCCCCCAGCACCTCTGCTCTTGCGCTTCTCTATTGCATCTTTCTCGTCTGCCTTCTCCTTCGCATCCTCTAATTTCTCTTTCTCTTCGCCTGGCCTGGGCCGATCCAACTCCTCACAGATCAGACTACAACAAGATAAAACAAAATGTTACAACATCAGTCTTCATGAGGATCACTCACATGCTGCAGACAACAGAGCACCAAACATTAAATTGTTACCTGATCGTGGGCACAGAAAAGGGATCAAATTTGTCTAATTCACTGACATCTATGGGAACAGAAATGCGGCCTGGACAGAGAGAGAGAGAGGACACAGTTTTATACACTCATACTTAAGTCAGATTAAATCAACCTGGTGACAAAGAAAAAAGATCCAAGGTCCTCTGAGTTTGGAGGTATATCAATAAAAAGCCTTTAATATTACACAGCTGACATTTCAGGAATAAAAACCTTGATATGAATGACAGAATATCATTTAACAGAATGAAGAAGCCAATATTTTATATCCATCCAGTGTAAGCTTTTATTATTTATGTTATTATTTTCATTCGTTTAAAAACAGAATTTTATATTTACTTGGGTTATCTTTGTCTAATATCAAAATGTATCTGATTATCTGAAACATTTAAGTCTGACAAATATGCAAAAATATAGGAAACAAGCAAGTAACTGTATTTTTGTCTTCTTGTTTACAATCATGTACATGTACAGTATAACTCTTGACTCCAAGGAGCACCTTTGCCCAAAAAGTGTGATACAATATTACTAGCATGTACTCTTAGCAAAGGCCCAGACATTTCCAGTACAAGCCTCTTTAAAGTATGCTCACCTGTTTTGGGGTGTACACTGAAAGGACTCTTCAGCAGATGGTTCACACCTTTGCTGACGTTGGCGTCGAGCCGTGGGTAACAATACTGCAGCATGATTTCGTTTTCAAAGTACTGGCCCTTCTTTGCAGTGCTCTTCAGGGAGACAGATTGTAAGACCATAAGCCCTTCTGTTCTAATGTGTAAAACAATGTAAAAACTGTGAGCCAAGTTACCAACCTGTTTCCTTAAAGCCTCTTCCTTAATCAGTTTCCAACGTTTCTCAGGCTTCTTCTCCTTTTCGAACTCCTGCTGTAGGTAGCTTCTGGCATGTAATATATAAAGTCAAGTCACTTTCAACAAGATCTTTGAACTCTTTGCCAACAAATGTCTATAGGTCCAATCAATTACTTTATGCGGCAAATATGCGGTAAACTAAGAAAAGGATATCCTCAGGAACGAGTGCCAGCACTTTTTCTACTGACTCCTTGCTTCCCATCAGGTCCTGGTCATGTAGTGCATATCGGCTAAAGTATTCCTTTACCACTTCCAGAGACTTGCTGTGAAAAAGAATCACAATTTTAAAAAGCACAGCGTGCACTGTACCCAAGTGTGTGTAACCAGTGATCCTTGTATGCAGGCATGGTGATCACTGTGCTCACAACTGCACCCAAGCACAGAAATCCAGGACAGCTGTCTCAGTGAAAGTAATTAGCAAATTCACAAGGCAAACAAGAACACAGTGTGTCACTGCTTACAAAAATGGTCCTAATTAAAAATGATGCCCAGAGATTGTGTTGATGAAAGAGAGACAAAGCAAGAGAAATACTGAAAAATAAATGGGTACAATCTTACTGGAACACAGACTATAATAGATAAACACCAAAATGTATCAAACAGTTACCTGATAAAAGGGTGAATTGGTTCAGTCAGCACTACTTTCTTTATGGTTTCATCACCACCCTACAAAACATCACTTTTTTAAAATCAAACATTGCAGGCCATTTGAGGAAGATACATTTCACTAATATGTTGCTCATGAAACAAGACAAGACAACAGTCTGATTAACAATCAAATCAGAGTCTTAAGACTGCGCAGATGTAAGGAAAACAGTCACATCTTTTAACTCAATAAGTACCATATTACAGAGTTCATCCACATTTCTCAAGGTCAAATTCAAGCACTTTTTAAGCACTTTCAAGGTCCACTTTCAAGCTTTTCCAGCACATTACCCATAAAAAGAATGCATGTTTCACTTAGCATTTAGGGTACAAACTCAAAAAACGCATTTCTCTTAAAAATTAAGATTTACAAATGTGAACAAATCAACTTGTTAGAGATATTCTCCACTTGAAAAGAAAAAAAACATCAATCCCATAAAACAAGAAAACTGCGCCAAACACCACAATAATACACAGCAAGGCCAAATTAATAAGTCTTCTCATCAGATATTGACTCTTCTTTAGTATGTGGCACAAAAAAATAGGAGACAGATGTTTGTTTGTTTTTAACTAGTTAATCACCCACGCCCCCAAAAATGGGGGCAAAAGGAAGATTACCTTTAATCTGTTATAACACGAGGTCAGAAATATAAGTGCCGACAAGAGTAGTGTCCACAGAAACCTCTGAATCTCAACTGAAATCTCATATAAACCATTTCTACAAACACCAAACATTTTAGAGCAGTTACGTCACCATGAATCTGGACAGGTAATATCCATATTTTGATTTATGATTTTCTAGAGTTAAATGTGA